TCTAATAACTCCATAAAATTCAACAAGCCCACTAAACACAATAAGACCTTTTCTTCTATATAACATTAAGACCAATTAAAAAAAAAAAAAGGATCATAGATGTAGTTGTACGACACTTTCTAGTATGTTGGCAGCACAAATATTGGTTAGTTAAACAACAGAAAAAAAAAATGATAAAAGCCATATGTCTGTATACCTATGTGGTTTTCTGCATTTTGTGAAAGAATACTTCCAAATGCCATGAAAGTATATCTACACCTACCTCTAGTTATGAAGCCTTTTGATATCTTCCAATGACAAAAACCACCTTGAATTAAATACTCAAAAATTTTGAAATCATACTCTGAAGTAGGGGAAAACAAATAAAAGCAGAAACAAGAACCTGAGATCAAAACCTGTTTCGCAAAATCCAGACCAGCTTCACGGAAGGCTTTCTGTACTTCCAACAGACCATTTCTGGTTTCAGGGGTACCTCCACTCTGAGTTGATAAGTTCTTATTAGATATATTCACAACATATGTCATACATAATCTATAAAACAGAGAAGTAAAGAAGAACAAAATATGGTATACAGACATCAAGTATGACTTGATGCAGACCTTTGAAATCACAATTACAAGTGTAGAAGCCAGCTCGGAACCAAGCTGTGCAATCTGATGATCGATTCCAGCAGGATCTGTATTATCAATAAATCTTATCTGCAAATTAAAAGAACAAAATCTTAACAGTTTATTCCAAAAAAACCATTAGTTAAAGACTTTAAATCATTAAGTTAAGAGGCTACCCAAAACTGAAGTTAAAGCATTGCTTTAACAAATAAACACTATTAAGGAGCTCAATTGCTGTGAGCAGACTAAACCCTCGAAGCTCATTTCGAAATTCAAATAAACAAATGTAATACACAAATCAAATCAATAAAACTACTACTTTAATAGAACCTATTAACATAAATTTCGATCAAATTGTTCTTTTAAAAAAGAGAAAGTAAAATCCAAAGAGCATAAAATTATGATTGATCAGATACCTTTAGAGGAGGATTATCAGGAGCCAATGCTTCCGCAACGAACTGTGGGCCCAGAGCAGAACCTCCAATCCCAACTGAGAGTATTTGAGTAAAACGACCCTCTGGAGAAGACGGAGGTTTAATCTGCAGTTTAACAAGTGATTAAACAAATTGATTAGTAAATTAATTCCACCTGAACACGGATGATCAATTAGTTTGTTACAGCGAGTTATAACAGAACCGCCAAACTAACCTTACCGCTGATGACGTCATCAGCGAACTTGCAAACAGCGTCGAGAGCGTTCTCAATCTGCACTCGCAAAAAGGAATTTGGCGCGAGTTTCGCGTTTCTCAACCAATAATGGCCAACCATCCGTCCTTCATCGGGATTGGCGATGGCGCCTTTTTCCAATCCCTCCATAGCTTTAAAAGCGGTTTCAAATCGGGGCTCCATTTCCGAAACAAACTCATCCGAGAACCCGATCCTACTAACATCGAGGTACAACCCGAGTTCCTTGTGCTGGTATAACCAGTCAACGTATCTCCTCCACAGCACTTTAGGATCTTTCTCAAGTCCCCCTTGCTTGGCCTTCTTCAAAACGCCGACGTTGTTCGTTTTGGACAAATCTGCGGATATTTCGCGAGCGACGGAGTAAGTCGCGAGGGGTTTAGAGTTGGAGTTAGAGCGAGTCGAGAATGCGAGTGAGTCATTGCGAAGCAAAGGACTGAGTTTGGCGATTCGGTTATGCTTAGGCTTCAAAGAAGGGGAAGAGGAGCAGAGGCCTGAGAGAGAGGCCATTGAAGAAACAAAGACAAGTGAAAGCGAGTCGATGATGACGATGGGGAAAAAGAAATGGAGAGGGATCTTTGTTTAGGCCAGTGAGGGGTTTTGATAATTTTTGAAGAACTGATGAACTGAAATTGTGCTGGAGTTGAGCTGGGGAGGTTCTTTTCGTCTTTTTCTATTTGGTTCACACGTTGATTGGTTGGTGTTGGATTGTGATCATATTTACAGGGATGCCCTTGGAATATTCCTTTCCTTGTTTTGACCTATGTATTTGGAATGTGGATGGACCATTGTAAGTTGAGAAAGCTTGTTTTTGGACATTGGAGAATCCGTCGCATTTTGGATTTGGGTGGACAAAATTTTTTTTTAAGACGTTAAAAAAGATTCGCACAGTTTTGCGGGTAAGAATTTTTAACATGTCCGTTTAGAGTGATAAAGTTAATTTTGATAAAAGTATAAATAAAAATTATTATTATTTTAATTATAATTAAAAATTTAATAAAAAATTTATATAAAATAAAATTCATTAAAATTATTATTTAAATTTAATTACATCTCACTAAAAATACAAGTACATCCAAACACACCTGCTTAATTTCAGTCGGTGTTCTAAATGGTTGGCCACTTCTGTATGGAGTATAATTAGCATTTCTATTTGTTTTTTTTTTTCTTGGGCAAAATATATTAATTTCGTATTCTTTCTTTTACATTTTTTTTAACTTTCACTAATTACAAATAATTATAAAATTATATCTCATTTTTATAAAAAGATGAATAAAAATTTTACTTAACATTTAATTTTAAGTGACATACCAAATAACTTTTATATTATAAATTCAATACTTAAATTTTTTACTTAATTGATTCAATTTATCAAATATCAAAGCCTTTTGTGAAAGCAAAAATGTTGAAGGACTTGTCGACATGTATATGGCTAAAAAAAATTTCCATATATTTTTTAATAAATATACTTTTATTTGTTTAATACATTTTTATTAATTAAAAAATTAGTTATCTTGACTGAATTAATTATATTTATTTCTTTATAAATATCCAATATTGGCCAACATACTTTGAAATTAAAACAAAAAATAACGGTTGATAAAATCTTACGAACAAACAAACGAAACCATAAAAAGATCAATCAAACAATAATCCTAATACAATATTCTTTAGTTATTCATTAACAAAGAATGAATAAATAAATAATTAAGGACGAACTTTCATTAGTTTGGATATTTGTGACAATGATGTCGAAGTAAGTTTTGCTTAATTTTTTTTTTCTTTCAAAGTAGCAATGCTCATAAAGGGACTATGATTCAATAAAAGTTCTTGCCAATTCTAAACCTATAATAAACTGCTATCGACCAAATTTGGATGTTGAGCCATGCATTGACTTTTCCTCGAGAAAATAAGATGGTTGGCACTTACTATGCATCTTTTATAAAGATCAAGGTTTCGTTTGATTTCAACTGTACCTTCAATGAGTTGTCGTCGCTAATAAAATTTATGTTCATTGATGTGTAATATTCGTTTGGATGTCAAAACTACAGTACGTTTATCTGTTTTTTTTTTTTTTTTTTTCACAGAAAGATTTAGTTCAAATTGTAAAAACACATAGGACTTTTTTTTTTCCTTTTTCATCATTCATTTTATATTACAAAAACAAAAATATTATTATACTTTAAGTTTTTTATTTTTATTTAAAATTATAAAATTAATTTATTAATTTATTATAATAAATAAGATTTATTTATTATATAATAAATTAATAAATTAAATAAAATTCTAATTACTTTTATCAATACTAAATAATTTAAAATATTTGTTAATATAATTTTTATTCTAATATATTTAATATTTATTTTTTCTTTTCACTTTCCTGTCATAGTTATTTTTATATCCAATGACATATCTCAGAATTAATTTTAATCTCACTATTACAATATTCAATCTCATTATTATAATAATTAATTTTATTTTTATTATAATTTTTAATATTACTGAAATCAACTTTAATGCCCATCAAAATTAACCATAAAATAGCTTTATATTATGCTTATTGGTCTTATTAATGCCTTATGCATTAACAATTTAAGCCTATAACTCAATTAAATGTACGTGTTATTTAATTTTCTAATTATTCAATTTTTTATTTAAAATTTTTTATCAATTAATTTTTAATATGAGTTTATCAAATACATTTAAAATTTTAAACTGTTAAAAATTTAATATAAGTAACTTATATTATAAATAAAATCAAATGCCATGGAATATTTTATATATAATCTTAATAAAACTCATATAATTTAAGTTTGAGTTCTATCATAACTTTATTAAAAGTCATTATAACAATGGATTGTTTTGTATATCTAAGTATTTTGAAATAAATATTTTCGATTTTTGTTTTTAATATTTGAAGTTGATATATTAAATTTATATAGATCATATTTTGTTTTTTTTTTTTATTTTGTCAATCAACCATCTACAATATCAAATAGCTAAAGACAATTATATATATATATATATATATATATATTAAGTTAAGAGGCAATATCTTTTGGGTTAATCGAGGTTTGAAATAAGTTTTGACATGTGCGGGGTTCTTTTGTGAATAAATGGTTTTAATTATTTGGTATTCACTTGATGCATAAAATATTGACTAGATGATTAAAATATAATAAATTTATTTTACTAATTTTCATAATTTTTAATTATTTATATATTTATTTGTGGTTTATAATTCTTAATTATTTAGATATTTATTTGTGGTTTCTTGCTAATTTCATTATAACAATGTAAAACATTGCTTTGCATAGTAGTTAGATGAACTAATGATTAAATTATAAAGTAAAATTTTATTATAAAATTTATTTTTTTGAAATTTATACTTTCATAATTTGAGTGGTATAAATTAAAGTTTGATGACTCAAATAAAAATTAAGCATAAATTCAGTGACCAATAATGTAATTTATTTATTTTATCACATGAGCAAATGACACTCGGATAAAATAATTCAATACATCAAGTGAATTAAATTTGTATAGCTTCACTCAGTCAATTATGTAATAAAAAAAAGTTTTTATTTAAGTAAATAAAAAAAATTTGATCATCGTTCGAACCAAATAAAATATTTTATCTTTAATTGAAAATAAACTCAAATTAAAATGAGCATTTAATTCTTTTTTTTCAAAAATTGTAAAAATTAAAAAATCAGGATGGTTTTCTTGTCATTTTCTGCTTTACGCGAAACGCCGAGAATCCACAGACAAGACCCCTACCCTCCGCCATAGACAAACTTAGTTATCTCCCTACAAAAAAAGAAAAAAAAAACTCCTAAAAGCAATCGCACAGCGCCACCGAGAACCGCCGGTTTCTTGCATATCACTGCGGCCCCCGACGGCAACGATGTGGGTAGAATGGGACTGTCCTCATCAAGAACCCCAACAGTCGGACCAAGATTCTCACCTTAATTTCGACTTCCTTTCTCTTCTTTCCAAACCCAAGGTATACTCAATTCCTAGAGATTATATGTTTGCTCACTCTTTAAAAATAAGAAAATTCAAAATCTGTATATTTATGGAATTGGTTGTGTAAATGCAGGATTATTATAAGATATTGGAAGTGGATTACGATGCTACGGAGGATGCTATTCGCTCCAATTATATCCGTCTCGCGCTGGTTCGTTTTTGTTTTTTTTCTTTTTACAATTTTCCTTTTTTTAACCGAACAATATGATCTGGTTTTTGCAGAAATGGCACCCAGATAAGCAAAAGGAGGATGGAAATAGCGCCACTTCCAGATTTCAAGAGATAAACGAGGCTTACCAAGGTAACTATCTTTCTCTTTTGGGTATGTGTGTTTGCTTGCTTTTTCAGTGAAGTTTAGCATCTGGGTATTCTCTCAGTTTCAATTTTCCTTCTGGGTTTTGCGTTTTGGTTTGGCAATTACGCCGTTGACTGTTTTTCATTGAACTTTGTGTGTGAGGGAAACCATTTAATATACTATTCACATCTGCATATTATTTTTTGCTTGAAAGATTCTGTCGTCATATGCCTCTGATAGTTGATATGTTCATCATGTGGACTGTTTAAGTTTACTATTAGCAACATTAGTATGAGTGTAATTGAGGTAAATTGAAAATAATACTTATTCAAAAATGGAAAAGGGATGAAGATGATAAGCAACATTAGCATGAGAGCAAAGACGTGTTTGGATCATTACAGGATAACTGCAAATTTTGCTGTATTATGTCTAGCTAATTTTGGTATGCTTTTGATTGATCTTCACTTTTCAGTTAAGGGTTTTATGGCCTCACCTTCCTGTTGATTTGTTTTGCGGAGAATTATGGTGTTTGCTCATATGTCTATGATGCACATTGCGTATTCATGAACTACAATTTTAAATTAGGCTGTTATTTTTGGACTTGACTGCAATTGTTTTCATGATTTTTGCCCTTAGCTTCAGGTAACCTTTTTCTTTATTTTTGTGCATTTCAACAAGGTTGCACAACTTCTTTCATACCAGATGTGATGTGTGTTGGTGCAATGTGCAATTTATGACTGTTCTTTACAGAATATGTTCTTATTTGGTATGATGATGGGATGTTTAAAGTTGTCACACTGTTGGTGCCATGCAATGCTATTGCTTCATGAGTAGTAGATATCTGCTTATATGAAGGTCCTAAAGGACTATAGGGAGGCGTTAATATTGGACAAGGTTGAGATAGCGACTAGTAAATTCCTCTGATCATGTATTGTTTTTAGCATGAATAGGTGAACTGAGCTTCTGTGATCAATGATAGATGAAAACTTGAAGCTATAGTTTAACTGCTAACATTTGGTTGCTAAAACAACAAAGATGGGGCAAAGATTACTGTAATGTATGTCAAAATGAATTCAAAACTAACCATTTGGTGTTTTGGCTTCATTTAACAGTTCTCAGTGATCCAGACAAAAGGATAGAATATGATAAGAAGGGGATGTTGCATGTGTATGACTATGACATAATTGTAAGAATTTCTTCTATTGTACTTGGAAGTATGTTTATTTACCTTTATCTTTTTGGATGGATTATATTTTAAGTTTTAATTCACTGGCTGCAGGATTACCTTAACCGTTACAAAGGCCTTATATTGACATGTAATGGTCTAGGGATTAGGCAATCAATTTGGTAAGCCTGAGCGGGAGGAACTGTGGTCCCTTCTTTTGTATATTTGTTATGATGCTCGAACTGAGAGGCCCAGGTTTGTTGATATTGCAAACAGTGCAGTCAGGGATGAGGCCAAGCCTGAATGTGTTACATGTTATATATTGGTTGTGTAACATCTTATGCTTGTCCATCTTATGAGGGTATGACCAATTGTCCAATGCTTGCTTGTTAATTTAGTAGGGTTGTAGTCATTGGTAACTTGTTAGCTCGGAGCAATTTTTATGGTACCAAACTACCAATCTACTGTTACTAGGCACTAGCTAGTTAATAGAATGGAAAGTGCCCTTTTTCTCTGTCAATTGTCTTAGTAACTTTGTTAGTGCAAGTATTAATGTTAAGCCTATTAGGTAGTAGTAGCTTAAACTTACCCAATCCAAATTAAGAGTAACTTGTTATCTTAAACCAAATCCATGTAAAAATGACGTTAAAATATGAGGGGTTCTATCACTCTTCTAGAATCAGGCACTTGGGATCACTTCCCTCTTCCTATCAATGGCACTGACAATGCTTTCATTTGCAGCAACATTGCTGTTGATTATTCATCTAAATTCTAAATGGTCGATGGACTATAACTCTAATTTACATAGTTGTATTCCTTCTGGTCGACGTCTTTGCTCTCTTGCAGTTCCCTGAGAATATTGCCCTTACAAGCACCTTGAAATTCTCTTCAGGATTATCAAGAAAGTTTTTCCCTTGAATTTTGCCTCTCTCCTTTAGAATCATGGCACTGCGAATTATGTACTCCAAAGGTTGTCCTAGCTAGTATTGTATTATTGTGATGCTTTGGTACCGAGACAAGATAAAAGAGTAAATCAACTGTGTTTTCAATATTTGTAATAATTCTATTTAATGAGAACATATGTTTTGTTATTGATGATCGGTCCAGGCATGACTACAGATGGATAGACAGATATATAGCCATATGGGTGATAATTGCTTATGGAAATTGATAACTAAAGGTGAAGTATAAGATCTGCTAATGGAAATTTTCGGTAGTAGCTAATTCTAGCACCTTTTCTGATTAAGTATAATAAACCAAAGCCTTAAAAAAAAAAAAAAAAAAAAAAAAAACCCACGTACCTCAATAACCAATTTATATGTGGATATGCTTTGAGTCAAGATTTGGGCATTGTCACACCGCAAATGAGTCTGCAGCCTTCCCACATTGATCCAAATGATCCATTGAGAGCATTTTATTTTTAAGTCCATATCTGTAGGGCTGCTGCATAACCCACTGGCCTTTAGAAGATAAACTGATTTGTTTTCCAGTTGTTAGTTGTTACTACTTTTTCCGACACTGAAAGCCGCCAAAAGATATACAATTTAAAAAAACTGGGGCCACCTGGTGGGGATCGAAAAATCGAGAAAAGACGATGCTTTCCTGCTGGCCTTTGAATCGCAAAGCATATAGCAAACGTTTCAATTCACTTCATAGGGCTTCATAAAACGCACCGTTCCAAGCTGGCATCTGTCCCAATCCTATTCCCCAAGCCCACCTTTCTTGACCCAAAATAATTCTGTAATCTTTTTCATTTTTGTTTGCTCAAACAAAATTAAAAGCCCAAGCAACGAAAAATAATAATTGTCCTGATAATTACCACTTTACCCTCGTCACCCTTATCACCCCTTCTTAAGAAAATCTCCGTCAATCTTCAGTGATTCAGTGGCCGAAAAAAAATCTTCTCTTTCTATACCTCGAAAGCCCACCAATTTAGGCAAATGGCTACGAAGGTCCCTGACAACCTAAGCCGCGACCAATACGTTTACTTAGCCAAGCTAGCCGAACAAGCCGAACGCTACGAGGAGATGGTTCAGTTCATGCAAAAGCTCGTCCTCGGCTCAACTCCAGCCGCTGAACTAACCGTTGAGGAACGAAACCTTCTTTCCGTAGCCTATAAAAACGTGATCGGTTCTCTACGCGCCGCGTGGAGAATCGTTTCCTCCATCGAGCAGAAAGAAGATGGTCGGAAGAACGAGGAACATGTCGTGCTCGTTAAGGAGTATAGATCGAAGATCGAAGCTGAGTTATCTGATGTTTGTGATAGTATCTTGACTTTGTTGGAATCGAATCTGATTCCGTCAGCGACGGCGAGTGAGTCGAAGGTTTTCTATTTGAAGATGAAAGGTGATTATCATCGGTATTTAGCGGAGTTTAAGGTTGGTGATGAGAGGAAAGCTGCTGCCGAAGACACTATGTTGGCTTACAAAGCCGCACAGGTAACTTTTTTCTTATAAGAGATCTGAGATTTTTTAACTTGAAGCCAAGCTTTGACTAAATAGTTGAATTTTAGACTAGAATTTTGGATTTTGACTTGGGATTATAATTTTAAGGTTAGGGTTTAGACCTTGATAATTTTGTACTTGTTGAAGTTGAAACTTCGGATTTTGTGTTCAATTGAATGAAGGATATTGCGCTGGCGGATCTAGCACCAACGCACCCGATCAGGCTGGGACTGGCGCTGAATTTTTCTGTGTTCTACTATGAGATTCTCAATCAGTCTGATAAGGCTTGTAGCATGGCTAAACAGGTGCCTTTTATTTTCATCTCATGATATTATCATGGATTATTATCTTACACTATACATCGCCGGCCATGTATCCATTTAATTCAACCAACGTAAACTTAATAATTCAATTTGATGGAATTAAATTACCCAATGCAGTTACATGTGAACGTGTTTGTTTTAAGCACTACATCACATTTGACCTTGTTCGGCTGCTGCACATAGAGATGATAAATGAAAAGAATTTTATTTCAATCCATGTTCTTGTTTGTTTGTTTTGTTTGTAAGAGTATATGATGGCTTATTTAATCTGATTAGCTTTGTAAAGCTTCGTTGTCTGAAGTTGGAAAGTTTTTTCTTCTTCTTTTCCCCTTCTGCTGGGCTGTTAAATTCATTGTTTACTATGTCAAATGTGCTTTATTCTATGGTTTGTATCCTTGATTTTGTGCCTTAAAGTCTAGTAGGTCTAGGTGGTTGCTTTGACTTATTATGTTGGTGTAGATGACTTTTTCAGGAGCCGATTAGATTAGAGTTTGAATCAGTTTTAGTTTGAACTTTGAACCAGCCTTAGTTAAATTGACAAATAATTTTCTTTTCTATTATTACGAATGTAAAGCTCTGTCTGCATATGTGGTTGATAATATTACCTTAAACTCCTAATTTTGAAGTTTGCGAAATCAGGATTGCCTAGAAACTAGCGACAGCCCTGTTATTAGCTATAGTTAATATAAGTATTGATGCAGATCTGCTAAACTAAAACCCTTAATGAGCAAATACTAGATTTCTGCTACATTTATTGAGGTATGAAATGGTGAAAGTGAATGTCTTCATTTCAATTCAACAAATACATTATTTCAAAAATTACAATAGATGCATGTTAGGAGGAATTGTTGAGATTTTTTCCCTATGATCTCCCTTGTTTGCTTTGATGAGTAGAAAATAAAGGGAATGCGGCCAACCTCTAAAATGCTGCAACTTCTAATGTCAGTAACTTGTTTGGAGATCTTCTTACTTGGATGCTTTATATAAATGCTAACATTTTTGGTAAGTTGACTTAGATTTTTGAAACATTCTTTTCTATTTATTTATACGATTTGATATTGTTTCGTAGTCGGTGGTTAGAGTAAGAATAGATCATAAATTAATGCCAGATATTCATTAATGTCTTTTTTTCTTTAAAGGCATTTGAAGAAGCCATTGCTGAGCTTGACACGCTGGGAGAAGAGTCATACAAGGACAGTACTCTCATTATGCAACTCCTAAGGGATAACCTTACTCTTTGGACTTCAGATGTGCAGGTTATTGCCTCTCTCTCTCACACACACATGCACACGCGTGTGCACACACACACACACACACAAAAGACCAAGTTAATGGGGATTTTGACACATCCAAATTGGCTAGTGCCTAACTCTAGGGGGTGTTGGTTGTCATGCAGGACCAGTTAGATGAGCCGTAGAAGGTGTTGTAACCCGTATTGGTCCTATTCTTCTTCTGGTGGAGGTGGGCTTTGAATGTCATGTGTTAATGCTGATTAAAGTGTGTAATTTAAAAATGAGAAGCAACCCATGGCATGATGTTGCTATACTCCCCGACTAAACTTGTTTTCGGAATTTGGAAAGGTGGCATTTGGCAACTAGTTAGTTATCTTTACTGCACAGTAGTAGTTCATTTCTTACTTGTGGTTTACTGCATCACTTATTTTTTCAAGATGGCAAAGAGAATTCGATATTATAATATTTTGGTAGAAATTTGCATTAAACAGTGGGATAAAAGGGACTTTCGTCGTTTGACAGGGGGGGAGGGAAAGGGATTAAAAACAGAAAGAATAGTAGAATTAAAATACAAAGAAGAAACCCTGAGGAGCCTTTATTGAAACCAATTTGCTGGGTATTTGTAACTTATTTATCTCGGCCATATGCAGGCTTCAAAAGCTATCAAGGTTTTCCTCTTTTGTTGCCAGTTACGTGTATGATCCCCTTTGTTTGGTGTTCTTCCAAAGATTAATTACCGTCACCACTTTCCAAACTTATCGAGAATTAAGATAAATGCCGAAACTTTTTCAATGAGGCCTAACCGAACATCTGATCTCAGGTTTATGATTATGGCTTCCTCGAATCAATAGACGGTAAAGATACCTAGTTGAAAAGTATGATACAAAGTATGGTATGTCAACAATATAGTTTATCCTAAAATAATGGCCAGTTGGCCACCTATCTACCGTTACACCAAATTGCTGGCTAGCCTCCCACCTAAACCTAAGTATCGGAAACACAGAACGTAGAATATTACGACCTTCACCCAACGAGCACCATTGCCATACAAGTACAGTCAAGAAAGCAATCTTGAAAGTAAGGGATCAAATACGTATGTTGTTGAACATGAGCTGTATTTATCAAAGCAAATTCTTCCATGTCTTGCTTTCAAAGTCACCTACTCTAAAACTTTGCTTCCGATCAATACTAGATTTAGATTTGCTCCCTATAAAGTTACTAATTTAGATTTAAATCAAGATTCTAAATAGTGATTAATAAATATTAATAAAAAATTAAAATTATTAGAAGTTAACAAAAATCAATCAAATGACTTTAGACTTTTTTATTATAATAATGTTATTCTTATGCTTGATGATGCTAAACATCATGTAATCAACCAACAACGTTTTTTAAAGCAGAAAAATTAAATTTTAAATCTTATAAAATATTTTAAGTATAAAATGAAAAAAAAAACTATTGTTTCCAAAAAACGGAATGATTATTTAAATATGATAGAAGAACTATATGAAACACATAAATTTTTTTTTAATTTTATTATTATTATATGTTTAATTATAATATTACCAATGAAAGTAGCTCAGATGAAGAAGATAAAAGAAATAATTTTGACAATTAATCTAGTAGTAAAAAATGAAATTAGTAGTATAAAATCATCATTTTCTGAAGAAGTAGATAAAAATATCAATACTAAATCTACACCTATGGATCTCGATCAACAAAAAGTTGATAAAGAAAAACGAAAAGTATAATAAATTTTTAATTAAGAAATTGATGATAAAAATAGGTTTGAAAATAGAACATAAGATAATATTTATAAAAATGAAATTAAACAAACAAGAACTTCTTTCGAAACTGTTACAGAACCTATATCACAATCCAATTTTATAGAATTTTTAAACAAAAGAACTGTAACTCAATGAGAAATGTATTTAGATCTTTCAAAAATCTCCATAAATGACTATGACAAAACCATAAAAGATTAGGTATAATCTATTACTATTGTAGTAAACAACTACAAAGACACTTGGTTTTAAGAAAATTTTTTAAATTATTTTTATGAAACATTTTAAAGAAATGTTTTGCAATTTTTGCCCAAATAAGAAAATTCAGAAGTAGAAAGAGCTCAAAAAGAAACTTTTCTAAATCAAATTACTACTATACCAGATTTGTTAAAAAACCTTACAAATCTACTAAAAAATAAATTTTATGGAAAAATGAAACCAATTGATCAAAACAATGAAGCTAGTTATGTATTAACCAAGATAAAATTATGTGATATAAGATATTTAGAATGATTTTCTAAAAAATATATTCATGAATACAAAAAATTAGATGAATCACATTATAAATTTTGGAAAGAACAATATTTTCATAAATTACCATCACCTTGGGATGAACTCTATAATCAACAATATCTCAAATATTTGAAATTTCACAATCCTACAGTAGAAAATAAACATTATTCAGATTCTATAGAAAATAGAATTTATTTTGCTTCTAAACAAATTATAAAACATTACCTTAAAACAAAGGCTAGTAAGCAAGTTACAAGTAGATTAAGCGATAAATAATGCACAAAAATATTAGAAAATTAATGAGAATTTAGATGTAAATCTCAACCTAAAACCTATTCCAAGAAATACAAAGAAGATATAAACTGGTCAAATCGAAGCAAAAAAAAGCATAAATTTGACAAAAGAAAAAATTTGTTGGAAAGAAAAACCTCTAAAAAGAAATCTAGATGTAAATGTTTCATTTGTAATGAAAAGGTCATATAGCCAACTCAATGTCCAAATAAAATAAAAAGTGCAAAAAAAAGTTATTAAAACTTTTGAAGAATGAGATTTAAAAATTTGCTTTTGAGAAGAAATTATTTATAAATTAATTTTTGAAACAGATTATGATTCAGATGATGATGATAAATATATTTACATGCTCAATTCTAGTAATAATTCTATATCAAAAGTTAATAATCAACTTAGTTTTGAAACGAAAGATATACCTACTGAAGAACAACAAATGACTAAATTAAGTGATATTTTATGACAATATGTTACAATTTCAAATGAGCTATTAAAAAAACTACAATCATTAAAGAAAGAAGAAATATATAAACTATCTATCTTTTTAAAATTCAAACCATGGACACAAAGACATATAGAAAAATTTAGCAAAAATACCATAACTATTGATTCTAATTAAGGATCTATAGATGTTCTTTTATTCACTAAAGAAAAAATCAAGAGAATTAAATAAAAATATCCTAAAGTTAGATATATACATTTAGAAACAATTATGATAATTATAAAAGTTTTATTCAAAATTGGTAATGATATACAATAATAGTAGTGTTAATAGACAAAAATTTTGAAAATCATATTAAAATACTAATATGAGGAATACAATTAAATCTAGTGTCAGGAGTGTTCGATTTAAAGTAAAATCAAACTATTTTATTTCAATTAATGATCCGTTAATAGAATATTGTCTTAGACTTAGAATAATGACAAAAAAGTCAAAATTTGAAAATGTGGCTCATGATTTGTTTATAAATTGGATAGCTATTTATGAATTTACTAATCATACTTTTACATATAGTAAAAAAATATAGGCTAATATTATAGAAATATTTGAACCCAGACCTTTTGATTCATAAATCAAACAAAGATTAATAAATCTTAGTGATCTGTCAATACCTATTGGATGGTTGTTATAAGGTATTACAGAAACTGTTCTTTCTGATAGAAAAATGAAACCTATAAAGTTTTTGCACCAATAAATAGCATGTATTTTAAAAATCATGGAGAAAGTAATTCTAGTAACAATCTAGTTCTACTACCACCCTATTCTATATTTTTATTCTCAAATAGAAATAATGAAGATATTGAAAGTATTGTCAGTGAACAATTATTTATTTCATATAAGCAATTTTTTCTATCTTAACATCAATCTATAGGTACGAAAAATATAAAATTTTTTTTTCAGGAGATACAAGTAGTCAAAATCAAGTTAATTCAGTTTACAACTAAGTAAACTCAGTTTTAAATTCAATTTTTTCTAGAAATACTATAAGAGATGATATTTGAAGTTTGGCTATAATCAACTAATATAAATTTGGTAATGATGAAGTAATTACATTTTCAAAAAATCAACCAAAAAAGTATTACAATTATGTAGAAGTAGAATTTAGATTTAAACAATACAAATCATACTCTTTAAATGTTTTAATAGATACAAAAGTAATTATAAGTAGTTGTAAAAGTAATGCTTTACCATTAGAAAAATAAAAGCCAGTAAAACACCTTATAGTAGTAATAGGAATTGATGAAAAATAAATTATAATAGGATATAAAGCAAAAAATGTTTCTACTTATTTTATAAATAAAAAATTCATAATCCAAAAAATTTTATGTTTTCTTTTTATGCATGGTGATATGTTATTAAAAAATAATTTTATATACAATTATTTACCTTTCTGTTTGAATATTAATAATGTTGTATTTACTATAGATAAATAACCTATAAAGATACCAATAGTAAAAAATTAGAAACATATGTGACTCTAATTTTTGACCTAAAATCAAGCAAATTGAAATTATGTCAATTAGTAAAACACGTTGGTAATATAAAATCTTAAAAAGAAAATTTTAGTAAGGAACCATTAAAATTATGGTCTACAAGTATTAAATTCTGTAGCTTAAAAATTATTGATTTAAAGAAAATAATTAGAGTAAAACCAATTATCTATGCTAAACAAGATATAGATAAATTTGATATATAAATTAATAAACTTTTACTAAAAGGACTTATAAAGTTCACTACTAGTCCATATTTAAGCTTAACATTTATGATAAAAAATCATACTGACCAAAAAAGAGGAAAAGCTAGAATGATAATCAACTATAAACGGCTTAACCAAAATTTAATATTTGATGGTTACTTTATTCCTAGAAAATATGTGTTAATAAATTTAGCAAAAAATGCTAAATATTTTAATAAATTTGATTGTAAATCAGGATTTTGACAAATAATGCTAACTGAAGGGTCAAAACCTTTGACAACTTTTAATGCACTAAAAAGTCATTATTAGTAGAAAGTCATGCTCTTTGAACTTTGTAATGCTCTACAAATCTTCCAAAGATGGAAGGACACAATATTTAAAAAATATAAAGATTTTTGTGTTGTATATATTGATGATATATTTATATTTTCTGAAACATTAATTGAGCATCAAAGACACCTACATTTAATAGCTAAAGAATTTATAAAATATGGTATAATATTAAGCCCTAAAAAGATAGTGCTTAAAAAAACTATATAGAATTCTTAGGCTTAAATTTATCTTCAGAATATCTTATTTTATAATATCATATTATAGTAAAAATCAAAGAATTTTCAAAACAACTTCAAAGTTTTCTATGTCATCTTAAATTATGGAAGACGATTCATTAAAAATATATTTAAAAAAGAG